CTCTCTCTCTCTCTCTCTCTCTCTCTCTCTCTCCTTTCTTTCCTTCCTTCCTTCCTTCCAGATTAGATCATGCTATGTTGTCCTGGCTGCCCTTGAACTCCTACCCTCCAGTAATGGTCCCATCTCAGGCTTCTGAGCAGCTGGTTCTGCATGTGCATTACATCATGCCTGGCTCCAGGCATGGTTACTGAAAAGAAAAACAAGAAATGCCACAAAAGTGATTATGATTTGGACTCCTAAATGGAATCACTTTTTAAAATGCTCCATGCTCCATTGCTCTTAAAAGGTTCATTAATGGAGCGATGCATGATGGAGAATTTGAACTCAAATTACTTTGACCCTCATGGAAAAAAACATTTATCCTGGCATCCCCAAGTCCCCAATTAAAATTGGATTTGATATGAATAAAATGCAAGGCTACTTTATGTTCAGACCACTGGTTCTTAACTTGAAGTTAAACTAGCAACATCCATAACATTTTGGATCATGTCAGAAATGCAAATTCCTGAACCCTATCACTTCTCCACAGAATCAGACAATCTGGGTGTGGCTACCACCATCATTTTAAAAAAGTAAGTCCTCCAGTAGATTCTGATGCATACCCAAGTTTGAGATCAACCAGCTCTGGGTAGTCATTATACTCAGCCTTATTCAAGAAAGTAAGCTTATTTATAATTTAAAGTAAAATTCTTTTTGATCCTACAAAAAATGTAAAAATGACACAAGATATGCTTAGAAAAAATGGGCTTATTTAAGTGAATTGTGTCACTGGCAATTGAGATTGTTATATATTCTCCAAAAAATGCAATTAAAATTTTATATAGCTAAATTCAATGTACTCCTCTAAGGTGGAAACACAGAAAACAAAACAATACAAAGCAAAACACACAAAAATATTTAAATTCATTTAATACCCCCCTGATCTGGCTCTGGGATTGACACAAGGAACACATCTACACTCATGAGCTGATCTACTCCTGTCATCATTTGCATAGACTAGAACTTAGTTTCTAACTTTATCATAAGGCTATTGCATTATTCCTAGCCCTTCCTTTAAACAATTAAATGTTCTATATTTGCATTGGACAATTAATTGTTCTCTAGTTATTTTGTATTTGTTACACTGTCCTATGTATATTGTAAATTACTTTTCAAGTTAGTCAAGGCTTATTTTCAACACTTCTTTCTTATGCTTCTTTCATATGCCATGTAGTAGATGTTCAATTGATTGATTGACAGGTTGTCTAGAAATCTCAATAAGTTGTCATACTACTCATAATTTAATTTTAAAATTTTAAGTCTAAAATAGCTGCTTATTATTTTTAATTTTTTTGTTGTATGTAACAGAGAACCTTTACTTTATTTATTTATTTATTTATTTATTTATTTATTTATTTATTTATGTGATGATGAGAATCAAACTCAGTGCCTCGTACATGCAAGGCAAGCGCTCTACTGCTGAGCCACAACCCCAGCCCCTAGCTGCTTATTATTTTATATGAGACTTTTTAGTCTAAGAGAATTGGTCTAGATGAGTTTACATTAGTGATATTCAAAATATTAACCCTAAATATGGTAGACAGGTATGGATCTACCCAAGGCACTGACTGAATACTGGCACCACAAAGACCTACTGCAAAAAATAATATTCTCACATCTATCTATAATTTTCAGCCATAATTTGAATCAATTACCATTGTCTAGATATATAATTCTGAATAACCTGCAAAATGATGACTTTCTTGATGTTTCGCCATTTGGGGATTTAATAAAATACAAAACATTTGAGTTCCTATTTTATCTTCATTTGTTACACACAAATACATAGTATATGTTTTTTCTACTTAGTTCAGGATCTTTGTTTTTAATGATTCTTCTCCTAGTTGTCTGCCACTCCCATGCCATCTGACCAGATGCTTCCGTGAGAGTCTGACTAGTTAGAAGCTCAGAACACTCACAGACAAATGCCAGAAACAGCCTGTGTGGTAGACTAATGGGTGAACAACAGAGGAGATTACGGAGTTCGAAGAGCTGCTTTGCCAGCCCTTGAGACTCTGGTGGCCAGACCACTGTAATTCTATTTACCAGCAAAGGATAACAAAGATATTCAATGTCTGGAGGAAACATTCCAAAAGTGTTGATTTACTGCAGTGGACTTTGAAAATGAAAGCACAATACTTACTGAGCCATAGAGTTTCCCCTTCTTGTTCATGGCTAAGTAATAGTTGCTGTTAATGGCTTTGACAGCTACAACTCCAATTTCCACTGATGTTATCTCCAGGATACCTGAAACATATAATTTAAAAAAAAAGATTAACCATGAAAAGTCATATAAATTGAGGTGAAAAAGAGTAAAAACTAAAAGAAACTATTATCTATATTTTTGATGTTATTAAAACACAAGGCAAAAGAAAAAGGCGAGTAGGGGGAACTCAACCAACTCTGTTTCAATGTGTTGAAAACCCTAGCAAATATTTCCAGCAAATATATGGAAACAAGTAGAGAGGCTTTAAAAGGATTCCCTTCCATTTTACTCTGAACATGAGCATTATAGAAAAATATTGTTTTAATTAAAATGCTTCCTTTGCTAACTCTGCATTTTCAACCCCATAAATATTGGAACAACTCTACTCATCTTAGCCTAGATTTCACAAAAACTTATCAGAGCCCACATCTGTACTATGGCATTAAATTAAATCCATAGCATATGTCAATAATATGTCAGATTTACTTCAATCTGTAAAAACAATGGTGAACTATTTTTTTCTTTGTAGGACATTTAAAGTAAATCTCTTGGCTACATTTAACTAATAAATTTATTTTGGGCAAATGTGTTGTCATTCTGAGATAGAGACTAATCTCAACATCCATAGTATCTTTAAAATAATGGAATCAATACACTGAGATGGAAAGTTTTTTTCTTCTAGAAAGAAATGAAAGTTAAGGGAATTAGTAATTGATAGACAAGATCTTTTCCTTCAAAGACACGTGTTTAGATTGGTGCAGGTAAAGATGATCTCTGAAAAGTTGGTAGGCAGCTAGCTGTAGTGTACTCAAAGAGCCCACTCATTTTAGATCTAAAGATCTAAAGAACTGAAACTACTTCTGATTTAATAATTCTTAGGACAGCTTGCTCAGGGAAGAGAAGAAATGTGATGTTTAGCATGTGGCCTCTGGAGCCAGGGTATCTGGGTTTGTCTCCTGGCTCTGCATCTATTTGTGAGTGACTACAGGAATATTCACTGAGCTGGTCCATGACTCAATTTCATTTGTAAAATGGGCAACACAATAGTATTTCCCTCATAATCGTGTGGAGGTAAATGAGACAGTACACTCTAAGAAGTTAGACTTTGCCTAGAACTTAGTATCTCAATTATTATTAGAGGATCATTTTCACCTAACAGTTCTAGAATAGTTTCTTTAACAGGTTGTGTAAAGCTTGACTATAAAAGAAGAATTCCAATTAGCTTAACCCATAAAATCTGAAAGTTGTCATTCATCAAGTATTACCTATCATGAGGAGCACTATCCTAACTCTAGTCCTAAATGTGGTGTGTTCATACTCTTCTCAGGGGATAAAATGGCTTATGCTAAAGGCCTGAGTATCTTTCTCTACTTCCTTCACAGGGTGGCTTCTTGGAAGCTAATGAAAATGCTAGATTCCCCTACTGCAGACTTGGTAGAATCAGAGACCTGTGTCCAGGCTGCATGACACAGATCATTCTGTCCATGTACCCTATAGGAAGGACCTGACTTAATGCAGTACACCTCTTCACTGAATTTCTCATTCCATTTGTGAAGCCAAACCAAGGAAAGACCATGAAGGATGAAGGAAAGGTTATTTGTATTTTGAATACTCTGTTCCTTTTTGGTGTAAACACACCAAAATGTAAACACACACACACATACATACACACACACACACACACACACACACACACACTCCTGACCACATCTGGTAGATTATAGTTTAGAAACCTCTGGATTTCTTTTCTTTCTTTCTTTTTTTAAAATTTTTTTAGATATAAAAACATCTTTTACTCATTATTTAAGATGTCAAATTTCTCTAAATTGACCTATAAACTCAGTGCAATCTTTATTATTATTATTACTATTATTATTATTATTATTATTATTATACTTTGTTGTATGTGACAGCAAAGTGCATTTCAATTCATCATACACAAATAGAGTGCAATATTTCAATTCTCTTGATTGTACATGGTGTAGAGATGCACCTTCATGCAATCATACATGTACATAGGGTAATAATGTCCATCTCATTCCACCATTTTTCCTATCCCCAAAACTCCTCCCCACCTTCCCCTTTGCCTAATCCAAAGTTCCTCCATTCTTCTCATGACCCCCCAGCATCAGAGGTCAGCATCCACTAATCAGAGAAAATATTCAGTCTTTAGTTTTTGGGATTGGCTTACTTCACTTAGCATAATATTCTCCAACTCCATCTGTTTACCTGCTAATGCCACAATTTTATTCTCTTTTAATGCTGAGTAATATTCCATTGTGTATATATAGCACAATTTCTTTACCCATTCATCTGTTTATGGGCACTTAGGTTGTTCTACAATTTAGCTGTTGTGAATTCAGCTGCTGTAAACGTTGGTGTGGCTATGTCGCTATAGTCTGTTGACTTTAAGTCCTCTGGTTATAGACCAAGGAATGGGATAGCTGGGTCAAATGGTGGTTCCATTCCAAGTTTCCTGAGGAATCTACACAATGCTTTCCAAAGTGGTTGTACCAATTTGCAGTCCCACTAGCAATATATGAGTGTACCTTTTTCCCAATATCCTCTCTAACACTTATTATTGCTTGTATTCTTGATAACTGCCATACTGGGGTGAGATAAAATCTTAAGAGTGGTTTTAATTTGCTTTTCTCTAATTACTGAATATGTTGAACACTTTTTCATATATTTGTTGATCATTTGTACATTTTCTTCTGAGAAGTGTCTGTTCAGTTCCTTAGCTCATTTATTGATTGGGTTGTTTGTTACCTATAGATTTTTTTCTGTTATATCCCTGCTAGGAAGTTGGTATTCAAAAAATCAACCTATTCAATCAAACTTTTTCCCCTGCTCCCACTCTGCAATAGTTTAGGCTAGCTTAAAAGGTTTATTTATTTATTAAAAAGTTTAATTTTTAAACTATTACATAAAAATTGTACATATTTATGGGGTCTCTTGTGATGCTTTGATATATGCATACATTATTTGGTGTTCAAATCCGATAAGCTTATTTACCTCCTCGAAGTTGAAAAGGTTTGGTATTGCTTCAAACTATAAAGAGGGAAGTCCTGCGTGATTTAAGATCCTTTTGAATCCCAGAAATAATATTTTGGGTGCACCACAAATTATAATTGATAAGTTATAATCGATTGTGGAGAGTAGGCTGTGCCCTGCTCTGAGTTACTTCATAATGCATAAGACAGTAGTTTCAGGCTGTGCCTAACCCTGAGTTACTCCCTTTTTTGAAGTTGTACTTTATCATGAGCTTCTCTGATTTGAGTCAAAGTGCCAAGGTAAAATGACTCTATATCCTGTTTGTACAAGTAAACAACCACCATCTGCCTGGCAAAACCAGAAGGCACAAATTGATAAATAATTTTATATGTGCCAGTTTTTCAAACCAAATCAAGAACACATGGACCTGTGGCCATTCCAATCATATCAGGAACACCAGATACAGGAACTTATCAACCTCACCAGATGCAACCTCCCCCAAGACCTGTAAAAAGTGGAGCTCCTCAAGATTAGACACAGGGACACCCTGACCCTATCATTTGATCACTCCTTATGAGTCTTGCCTGGGAAAATTGCCACAGCAAGGAATATCCAATTTCCTGTCCCTTTGGGTTTCAGCATGGTGAAATTTATCCTGCCCCTGATGACAGTGCACAGCCCACTCCAAGCTAACACTTTGAAACTGAAGGTGCCATCCGTCTAGACCCTCTGCTTTGACAACACTGTGGAACTTGTTCATCAAGACCCTTATCTGTCCACCTGCAGTGATGCTTTGACTCTTTGCACTCATCTCTCTCTCTGCCTGCAGTCTGGGCACAGCGTTCTATAACCCCATGGCTGCCTTAATCCTTTCTGTGATATATGTAGGTGTGTATGTGTGTGTGTATGTGTGTGTACCACTGCATTAGGTATAATGTGACTTGAATGTTATAGACATTAGAAATTAAGAAATTAAAATTAAGACTGAAATAGAACAAATGAATTTGTGATGGCTGGGCTTATGCCCATCAGGTGACCCATTAGTATTCAGTGAATCACCTCCACTGAAAGTGGTGGAGTCTATGAGTTCATTGCTGTTCAATAAATTATGACTTTGTGGAAAGACACATATGTGTGTGGTCTATGTTGATGGCATAGCTTGCTCATGACAATGGTCATGTGAGTAGTGGACAGGGACTGCATCTATGAAAACATCTGTGAATGTGAAAGCAGCTTTCTGAGGGACTGAGACTAGTCCCTTCTTTCTACTTTTCATTTAGATTCTCTACTTTTCATATAGATTTTCCTCCTGTTTTCTCTGGTCATTTTTGGTGAAGATGATCAAGTTCACTTATAAAATTATTTTTTGGAAAGCATCTCTGAAATTTTGCTTGAGGATTGTTAGACCAATAGACTGTAATCCTATGTGAGCATGCTTTAATGTAAAATGAAATGCCCATTGAAAGAGGCTCCTGGTGGAAAGTGAGAAAAGGGCACACTGGAAATCCCTATGTTGCAATTTCTGTGCTTCTACAATTATCTCAAAAATTGAAAGATTTTTAAAAGCACTGTTTTGTTACCAAAAGAAAATGACAACTGCAAATTATATAACCAATAAAAGGAAACACAATTGTGTTTCTCAATCATGTAAATTAGATATTCTGTAAATTTAAAGACATAGTCTCGTAATGGAATTCTGTGATTTATATTTAGTTGTAGCCCTTTCAGTTTTGTTGTCCCTCAAAAGATGAATTCCCCAGTTGGTGTTGTAAATCTGTTTAAGGGTCTCTAGACAGTATAGTTCAAACAATTAGGAAGACCTACGAGGAGAAGGGCACTCTTCTTAGGGACTAGAAATACAAAGTCAGATAAGTTATGACTCTTTTCTGGAAAATGTATGTTCTATTGAGAACAAAAGATAAATACCCAGAGAATGACCATAAAACCTATTATGTGATAGTTGGTGCCAAGACAAAGACAGGGAAACCATGGAGCTAAAGATGAGGCAGTTTCTATTGGCTGGGGCTCTAAGGCAAACTTATGGAGA